GGGTCTACAGCAGGGGTGTCCAACTATTTGAATATGGGGCTGGATCATGAACTTTTTATCACCCAGCAGGCCGGTGAGCCATATTCAAACACCCTCTGTCCTGGGCCAGAGAGACCCTGCCTGTGTAGCCCTACTGCACCTGCCTGTTACTGCAAAGTTCATGGTAGCTGTTGGTGGGCAGGGGCAGGAGGGACCCAGTCTGCATCCAGGCAGCTACTGCCCCAGAGGTGGAAGGGGAGAAATAAATAGCTCCACATCCCCATCCCCCGAGCAGCGCAGCCCCGTGAGCCGATGCTGCCGGAGGGGGCCGTAGCAAGGCGGCCACTGCACCGCAGCCCCTCACCCACCCGCCCGCACGGCCCCGCTCACCGTGGTCACGCCAGGACCCCGCCTGCCGAGGCCCCCCAGTGCTGGCTTCCCACGTGCCGCTCGGGACTGACCGGTGCAGGCAGGGGGGAAATGCAGCTGAGCCTCTGCAGCTCCGGCCAGGCTCGTCCTGTCCCGCCCCGAGCGGCACACGGCTCTGCAGCCGCCTATGCTGGCAGGTGCAGACCCGGCCGGGCTCCTCCCATCCCCAGCTGTAAGTGGGAAGCCGACTTCAGCTGCGTGCTGCTTTTCCTGGCCGGTGCCGACCCGGCTGGGTCCGTCCCATCCAGAGCAGCATGCGGCTGAAGCCAGCTTCCCACGTGCTGCTGGGGACAGTAGGAGCCCGGCAGCGTCTGCATCCGCCTGTAGAAGCGGCGGCGGAGCCGTGTGCTGCTCCGGACTGGACGGGACGAGACAAGTCCGGCCGGAGCGGTAGAGGCTCACCTGCATTTCCCCCCTGCCTGCACTGGTCAGTCCCGAGCGGCACACGGCTCCGCCGCCGCTTCTGCTGGCTGGTGCCGACCCAGCCGGGCTCCTCCCGTCCCCAGCAGCACGTGGGAAGCCGACTTCAGCTGAGCGCTGCTCCGGATGGGACAGACCCGCCCAGGTCAGCACCAGCCAGCAGAGGTGGCAGTGCCGCTCGGGACTGACCAGTGCAGGCAGGGGAAAGTGCAGCTGAGCCTCTGCTGCTCCGGCTGGGCTCATCCTGTCCCGAGAGGCAAATGGCTACTCCTCTTCCCACACGCACCGTGTCGGCAACGTCAAGCTGACGCGGTGCGTGTGGGAACCTTGTCCCTTCCCCAGCCCTTCAGCAGCCGTTAGGAAGCTGCTGGGGGAGGGACAAGGGGTGGGAACGAAAGTAAACAGTGTTTACTTTCGTTTCCCGTCGCAGCACCGCGGGCCTCAGAAAATGGCTTGCCGGGCTGCGTGTTGGACAAACCTGCTCTACATTTTCTCTAGGTAGCCTTTTCCAATTCTTGATCACCCTCAATTTCTTGGTCTTCAGCCTAAATTTCATCTACTGCAGCTTGAGGCCATCGCTCCTAATTCTGTCCCATACAGCCATAGAGAAAGCCCAAATTCATCCTCTCTCTAATTGCCTTTCAGTTACTTGAAGGCTGTTATCAAATTCCCCCCCTCAGGCTTCTCTTTTCCAAACAAAATAATTCTGCTTCTTTCAGCCTTTCCTCATAAGTTATGCTTCCCAGGTATCTTATCACTTTGTCACTCTTGACTAGACTCTTTCAAATCTGCCCATATCTTTCCTGAAGTGTGGAGCCCAAAACTGGACACAGTGCTCCAGGTGAGGCCTCCTTAGTGCTGTATGGAGTGGAAGAATCACTTCCCTTAATTTGCTAGTGACATTCCTGTTAATACAGCCCAATATCCTGTTGCCTTTTTTTTTTGCAACAAGAGAATGCTATTGGCTCATATGCATCTTATGGTCCTCTGTAGACCCCAGGTCCTTCTCTGCAGTACTCCAGCCTAGCGAGTCATTCCCCAGTCGATTTATGGATTCAGTTATTCAATTCCAAGTGTAGGAGTTTGAATTTGTCCTTGTTGAATTTTATCTTATTGCTTGCAGACTATTTCACCAGTTGATCCTTCTAGATCTTATGCCCTGGAGTGTCTGCAACTCTACCCAACTTGTATCACCCACAAATTTTCTAAGCATACTTTCCAGCCCACTGTCCAAATCACTAATGAATATATTAAACAATACTGAACCCGGGACAGACCCCTGGGAATCCCACTTGATACCTCCTCCAACCTACACATTGAGACATTGATGAGTACTCACTGAGAGCACAAGGATTCAACCAGTTTTGTATCCATATTACAATATTTTCTTCTAGTCTATATTTCCTTAATTTGAGAATATCATGAAAGACAGTGCCAAAAGCCTTGCTGAAGTCAAGATATATCACATCCACTGCTCTCCCCACATCCACAAAGCCTGACACCTAATCATAGAAAGAAATCAGGTGGAGGCTATTTCCACCTTGGAAAAAGGAAGATATTAAAAAGGTGGGAAGCTGCCCACCCTTTCTTTCTCCTTCAGTACAATGCAATGCAGTATTGTGATGCATAGGTTAAAAAACAAACAAAACCACAGTGCATTAAGCTGTTTCAGAAACTCTCCAGATCCACAGCTGGTTCAATTGGTGTAGGTCCACAGATATCAATACAGCCACACGAAGTACAACCTGAGTATCTAACCCTACATATCTCAGAGATTAACTTTTAAAGGCAAGGTTGTCCACCAACCCTAAGTGATCTTTATTTATGGAGTACAATTTTGCGCTAGCAATCATTTTGTTTTCAATGTCAATGTTTTAAGTATCAGATTTCAAAAAAGGAGAGGAGGGTGATGGGAAAATGGGGGCCTGACAATGTTGCTCACCAAGTTCCACCAGTCCAAAACATGTTATGCTGCCAGACTAATATAAAGGTAACTTGGGACTTGGCAGCAGCTTGTCAAGGGAAGGACAGATAGATTTGTAGGACATATCAGGCAAATCTCTTCAGAGTTTGCTTAAAACTAATGATTCTTCATACACAAATGCATGGGCATACACATATATGCACACAAATTTAATTATTTGTTAGGATTATTATTTGTTAGGATTATTATTTGTTAGTTTCTATTCAGTCTTTAAAATTAAGCCTCACTCCATAGTTAATTATAATTAACTATTAATCGTGACACCACATGGTTAAATTCCTGATCTGGTTTACAAAAATTTGAAGAGACAAAATTCTCCCATCACTGAAAAATAAATGGCAGATGCCTTTGGAAACTAAGGCCTGTTCTATATAGCTGAGTATTCATCATTTGCAGATATCAGCAAAACTGAATTCCAGTATAAAGGCTATTTTAATACCAGGCAGGCAACTCAGGACTCTACAGTGCAATGTGTAGAAAGAGAGCCCCAAAGTGAAGTTTTAAAAATCCTATTTTAGAGGAACATAAGTAAAACCAAAATAAACCCCCAAAAATACTTCAGCTAAAATGTTCAACAATGTTTCAACACCTAGAAGCCCAAGATTTGTTGAAAGCCAAAGGAAATTAGGTTCCAAAGTACCCAACTTTTCTACTGAAAATGGAACCGATACACTTATGTCTGTTAGTGCATGCCTATATTGTTCACATATGCTGCTAGACAGTGCTGTATTAAGACATGCCACACCTGTTCTATATGTGCTGCCTCCCAGAAAATAGTAATAGACTTGTTTCAGTGTCATGCTGCATGTCCAGCACTAGATACTGCCTTTCAAAAGAGATTATTGGCACACACAGCCCTGAACATTACCTCCAGTTGGGAAGGTAGCTTGTTCACACAATATGATGCATTACAGCATGGCACTGCCTATTGCCCTTTGGAATGGACATACCTATGACTTTTTTTTGAAAGACTTACACTAAAAGGAAAAAAATCCTGCCTTCAGTGGAAACAAAAAATGCTATAATACAACAGCAAGTACATCAGCAGTGGGAGATTCAGAACTGACTTGGTAAAACAACCTTTTGGCCTACATGCAAAACTATGAATTTATTAAAATGACAGTGTCTTTCTTACCGATACAGTTGCCTAGTGCATCTTGTATAAACCCATTCATGCACTGCAGCTTGGGACGGCAACGGAAAGATCCTGGAGTATTCTGACAGATAAAATCGGGGGGGCAGTTATGAGTACCAGTCTCACATTCGTCAATATCTGGTACATCACAAAAAAAGATTGTTAGCAGGAGTTTTACAGGAAAAAAAAGCAGCTTTTATTACATTTAATAAAAGAGACATTGTTAAAAAACTATAGGCCAAATTCATCCCAGGTGCACCTCATTCATTCCAATGCAGATGCATTGGGCATAACTTTGGCCCAATGTTTGTAACTGAATCTTAGAGAAATAGGCAGCAGACTTTCACTTACTGCAGTCTTGCTCCAAATTACTGCAATATTGCTATAATGTTTGAAGCAGTATTTTCTTAAAAAGCGCATATACACATGCTTAACTCTGAAGTCAATCATGTCAAAGCTCTAGTGATCTGCTGAGTCAGAAACTGTATCCTGATGTCATAATTCAGGACACCCTACCAAATGTTAGACTTAAGACAAGATTAACCAATTAATCACATCTTAAATTTTGATCTGGCATTCAATCAAACATTCACATATTCAATCAAAAATGTGTAAAAACTTGCTGGCTAGTTCCTATCATGCCATTAATTGAACACGAGGCCAGGTGTGCACCTGTGGTTAGGAGCCCCATCAGCTGATCCAGGCTCCCAGCTAGGGGAACATACCATGCAGACCCACAGCTGGGAGCCCATTGCCGATCTGGACTTCTAGGTGGAGGGGCACACCATGCACTTCTGTAGCTGGGAGGCCTGTTAGCTGACCTGGGCTTCCAGCTGCAGAAGTACCTCCACAGCTGGAAGCCCTGACAGCTGACGAGGCCCCCAGCTGAGAAAGCTTTGTACTTGCCTGTGCAGGGGGAGCCTGGGATTGTGATTCCAGGCTCCTCCTGCACCAGCAGTAAAGTGTGACGGTATATGGTGTGCATTCCCACAGTCACATCTCCTGCCATGCATGTGTGGCATGGCAGGAAGCACAACTGTAGGGCTCGCCCATCAGATTCCATAGTGCTTTTACCTGCATGTCCGGCAGGGGCACCAGGGTAAGCTCAATGTACTTAATTCTCATGTTATATAGAGGCCCCTTTACACAGGCGACTGGTAGAAGGGGCACGGGGGGCACATACTCCCCCTGAGATTGGTCCCCAACTCAGCACCACTTAAGACAGTGCAGTTTTTTTGCTGTGCAGGGTGGCGGTCTGTTGGGGGGAAAGGGGGATGTAGCAGCTCAGGTAAAAGTGCAGAGGTGC